GGAGAGCAGTCCGAATGGAGCCGAATCGTCGATCCGCGGGCCACCCGAATCCTCCCCAGAGCAAACCACACTGCCGCGAACTCCCGCACCGTACTGTGAGCTCGACGGAAGGACGGATCCCAACGCCCCTGGCCGGCCTGGTGAGCACTGGTCACAAAACCCCAGCCGAGAGACGACGCATCCGTGTACACATCGAGCGAGGGCTCGGGTAGGCGCCAAGGCACTGAACCCCGAAAAACCCGAAGAGGAAGCCGGTGACGCAGCAACCGACGCAAGTCCCCCGGGGGTCGAACTCTGCGATCGCGAGAGAGGCGGAAGGGGGAACCCCGAAGGAACCAGAACAGCCGTCGAAGCCAAACCCGACCCGGCGGGTAGACCACCATCGCGAAGTTCAGGCTCCCGCACAGCCCCTCGAGCAACCGCCGGGTGACCCGAGGGCCCTCCAGAAACAGACGAAGGCGGGACCGCAGCCGCAGGAGAGACTCCGGATGGAGAGACAAGGAGGCGGTTCGAGAGTCCCACACGAGACCCAGCCAAGTCCGAACCTGAGAGGGAACCAGATGGGACTTCCTCCAGTTCACCAAGAACCCGAACCCGGCGAGCTGGGAAAGAACCAAATCCCTGGCTAGCAAGCAAGCTGACTGGCTGGGAGCCCAAACCAGCCAGTCGTCGAGGTAGGCCAACACCCGAACACCTAGGAGACGCAAACGAGCCACCACAACCCGTCTAAGGCGTGTGAACACGCGAGGTGCCAGGCTCAACCCGAACGGGAGACAACGAAAGCGGTAACTCAGACGCCCCACTACAAAACCGAGCCAGTCCCTGAACCGCGGATGAATCGGGACATGCCAATAAGCGTCCCGGAGGTCCAGGGACACCATCCAAGCTCCCGGCTCCAAGAGGAGCCGAACCTGAGACAGCGTAGTCATCCGAAAGGAGGGGCAATGAACCCAGGGGTTCAGACGGGACAAGTCCAGAATGAACCGCAGGTCCGCGCAGTCCCGTTTCGGAACCGGAAACAGACGGGAAACCCATCTGAGGGACAACGTCGTTTCGACGACGCCCAAGCGTACCCACTCCAAGACGACTCGACAGAGCGCAGGGGAAGAAGCCTGCCCTGCCAGCCCCGACCCCCCAAAGGGGGAGGGGCCACCCAACGCCACCCAACGCCACCGCAGGCCGCGAGACACGACCCGAAAGGCCCACGAATCGTGGGACCAGGCGCGGGCGAACAGCGCAAGCCGCTCCCCCATCGCCCCGTCAAGGGGGCAAACCGCGAAAGGGCCGGCGACACTTACGAGACCCAGAACCCCGCACAGCGCGAACACCGCGCTGACCAGACGAGGGAGGGTCCGCAGGAGGAGCCAACCCCAAACCTGACACCAGAGGCCTACCACGACGAGAGGAACCCCGAGCCCTGGCACGACCTTTCCGGGAAGACCGGCCCCGGGACCCCCGGAAAACCAACAAGTCCGACATCGGACGACAAGCCGCCGATGCATCCTGAATAAACTGCGCCACGGCCGACTCCCCAAACAGGAGAGGACAAAAAGGTGAAGAACGCCTAAGAGCCAGAGCCCAAGCAGATTCCACGGAGGAACCCAGCACCGCCTGCCGACACGCGAGACGGAAAGCATAGAACAGGGAAACCGCATCCCGCAAAATCGGCGTGAACAGCTTCAACAAGGCAGCCGACGAACGCGCAGCCGAGGACAAGGTGCCGGACCCCGGGACGGACCCAAGCGTCCCCACATCCTCCACGAGCCAATCCGAAGACAGCTCCAGGAGGGAAAAGAACCGCAAGGCCGAACACAAAAGGCCCCGGGCGCGCAAGTCCTCCGCCACGAGCGCCGCTGAAAGGGAGGGAACCTGCACATGGAGCTGAATAACGCCCACATCGCGGGGAAGGGCAGGGGCAAACAAGCACTCATTCAGGTACTCAAGTTCACCCCCCAGGAAAACCTGAAGCACCGTGGAAGCTTCCCGCCACTCCAGCGTGCGGGAACGACAGAAGGAATGCCAGGAATCCAGACCAAACAAGGGGCAGTCTGCTAGCCAGGACGACTCCGGAACCTCGTAACTGAGCCAGAAAGGGAACGAAGTCCCAAACCTGAACGTGGACGGATCCATTTCCGAGGCATAATCCGGGTCACGCAGGAGGTAAGCTGCAAAGGCCGCTCGCACCACACCAGGTTGGATGCGATAAGCCGAAAACCTCCGGAAGGACGGAACCGACGTACCCGGGGGTACGTCGGGGGTACCCGGGGGAACACGGAACCGAACCCGGGGAGGGGCCGACACCAAATCCAACTCGTACGCAGAGGGGGGAAAAGAAAACCCCACTCCTTGTAACAATAAGCCCCGCTCAGTGGGAAGAAAAACCCAGGCGGGGACCAGCGGGGCCCAAGGCCCCCAAGTCAGCCCCTCCCCAGCCTCGAGGTCCGTCACCACAGGACCCGAGGCCGAGTCCTCTCCCCAAGCCCCGACCCCACAAGACAAGGACGGAGCAGCCGGAAAAGCTGGAGGAAGGGGGGCCCACTGGTCAGACCCTGAAGCTTCGGCCGGGAGACAAGACTCGAATGCCTCTGCCGCCCCCCCGGAAGGGGCAACCCCCGAAGCTGCCCGAGTCTCGAGATCAAGTAACCCCTGCTCCGACCCCGAAACCCTCAGACGCTTCGGGGCCGGAAGCAGGGGCGGGGGACCAGAACGAACAGAAGGGGAAGGACGAGGAGGTGCGGACTGAACCAGGATCGAAGCGACCCCCACCCCCAAGTCCGGGTCTCGAAAAGCAAAGCGGGGCAGCCCCGGGGCATCCGGGGAAGCAACCAACCGAGCGCGTTGCAACAGACGAAACCTAGACTGCAACGCACGTGCCGCCTGTACCCGAATAGAATCATCAGAGGATTGGGTAAATTGAGTCACAAGCAAGCAGCAACACTCACAGGACTCAGGGTCGAAAGTATCACCGACCCAACAGGCAGCGTGGCAGAGGCAAAAACAATGAGGGTCACCCTGAGACAAGGGGACCGAGCAACCCTCAAACTCGCACACAGCGAGTGGGGACTCCGGGGTCACATCCATCGGACCCACGCGCCCCCTAGGGGATTCCCAGGGTCCTGAGCGTTTACTTTAAGAGGACTCGCGCTCAGGTAGTCCCAGGCAGGGTGCTGCAAACCGGCGCCCAAAACTACCAAGCAAACTTCTAAAGCTGAACCCCAGGGACGTGTACACTCACGGGGACCTAGCAGGGGGCGCCACCGAGGAGAACAGTGGAAGGGCAAAACAAACTGAATAAAATGACAGAACCCCCCACCAGGCAAAAACAAAAAGAAAAAAAAAAACCCCGCAAGAGGACAGCGAACCCCAAGGAACAGAGCCGGCCGCGATGTCGGGAAATACAAGCTGAGCAGCACCCTGCGCCCCTACCAGTGCAAACTGCCTCTTACCTGCCGGTAACAAGGGAGAACAGAACACCCAAGAGCCCAACAGGCGGCCGAAAAACCGAAAGGTAAAACGGACCAGCAGAGGCAGACCCCGAGGAGCCTGTGGAAGGTGGCCCCAAGCCCCAAGGGCAGTACTTACAGGGCACCTAGGGAAGGCAGCCCTAGGCGCATGCAGCCCGAGTACTGAAGATAACTCCTGGCTCTCGCACCCACAAAACTAACACCACACGCAAAGCACAGTGCAGTAGCGACACCGGAGCCAGAGCACACGACCATCGCCTATAGCATCAGCCTCAAGAACTGAGGTGTGGGTAGCCGGCGCGGGGGGTCTGGGGCTCCCCCTTCCCCCTCCCGGGGAGGGGGGAGCTGCGCAGACAGCGGCACGGCAGTGTGTGACGTCACACTAGTTTGCTTGTTTTCGGTTGGGGAGTTCTATCCACTAGTTCGGTTTTAGGTAGCAATTTTAACCAGAATAGGGGTTTGTTTTGGGGCGCTTACCTTTCTGGGTGCCTGTTCCGGTCGATGGCAGACATAGAATGCTTCCAACTACACGGGGGCTTCTATAGGCCATTGCTCCCCTTGCCTCTCTGAGGGGGCCCGGTTCTGGCCGTGGTCCCCGGTAGGCCTAAGAACTCCATACACATGACTGATGCCAAAGTCTGACATTAGCATATCAGCCTGGGATAGCTCCGGGGAGCCGACGGGGCTCCCCCCAGAAATGGAATCAATATAGGAAAAGGCCAAACTCCCAAACATATCAGCCATACAAAGATGTGAGAAACAACTACACATTAGTAAGGAGAGAGGCAGAGAGGAACTTTGAGAACGCTATAGCAGACAAATGTAAATCAGATCCAGGACTTTTCAATAAATTCATTAAAAGCATGCTGCAGGTAAAGGATAATATTCAGAGGTTAAAAATGGGGGACAGATACACGGAAAACGAAAAAGAAATGTGTGAAACATTAAATGAAAAGTTCCAAAGTGTGTTTGTACAAAATGTGATCTTCAGAGAACCAGACAATAAGAATTCCAGAGAACAGCATAGAGCATATTTATTCATAAATATATATTCTGTATTATACTTGCATTTCAATACATAGTTATATTTTCAAATTTCTATATTTAATACCACATTTAACATATCAATGCCACTTGTTAATACTAAAAAACTAAATCATATATAGATGCAAATCATATACAGATTCTCCAGGCCACTACAGCTGAACCACACGAGGTAGAAACTTTTCAATTGGAATTGTGTGATTCCCGGATGCTAGTTAACAATGCCAAAACAACAAAGTCAAATGACTACGGGGGATGTTATTTAACAGTTGCGCAATGAAAGGGTTAAGTGATTTGGGTGATCAAACAACACTATCATTTTACATTTTATAACAATTGTCCATGCCACCAAATTAGCAATGATCAAATAAAGTTTCAAATAAATATTGATATACTATAATACACCCAATTCATATAAGTGGAGATACAAAACATGCAACATTATATCAATTTTGCAGACGTATTAAGGATACAAATATACATAACAGTTACCTTCAATAAGTAAGTCAAAACCGACTCCCTGTAAGGAATGAATTGTCTTCGTCGTCCTTCACTCTCTGAAAGGGCAGTGATGACTTTTCCAAGGGTCAGAAGTGATTTATTGATGAATACTCCCTCCTGTGAAATAAATCATGTTCATTTTTACTTATTCTATTACCAGAAACTCTTCATTGTTATTCACAAACTGTATATTTGTTAGACAAATGACAAATGTTTAAAGCAGTGGGTCCCAGCCTTTTTTGAGCTATTTGCCATATTTTCTAAATACTCAAAAGTCCTGTGACCTCCTGCCACACACTGAGCATAATACAGTACTGTATTTACATTGTGTCCATTTCGTCAGAGTTCTCTAGATAATTAAAACTTGACTGACTCGGTGGTGATCAGTTCCAATCATTGTGACCCAACAGTTGAGAACACATTAATTAAAGTAACCACTACCAAGAATTTTTTTTAACAATTCCATTTATAAACAATGTATTTTGATTTTTTACTCAAAAGTAGAAAGTAAACAGTAACACAATCGGCCAGATATTGGGCCATATTAATTTATAAACAGCCGATATCTGCATTTATCCATACTTTACCATACACTTTTTTATAATTATGCAGCCTTCCTCCTGTTTTGGTAGTACTTATAGTAATGATGAGTATATATACTGACATAAAATGAAATTAGAACATAGAAATCAGGACTACTGAGATGGAAAAACCGGAAAACTATTATTTTTTACTTGTGTTGCTTTGACAAACTAACCTATCCTAACCTCCCTAGGCCAAATCTACAATATCTGAGGCCTAATATAGTACAGTATCCACTCAATTTAATGGCCTCTTTTATACCAATCTGCCAGGTAATAACGACCGGTTTGGGAGATCGGTATCTGGACCCTCATATACCAGTCTGGCGGTCGATATTACCGAAGGTCGCTATTGAGTTTGTTTTGGCATCGGCGGCCCCTCACGTGGCAACAGGCCACCGACCTCCAAGGCCTTGCGAGAGGGATGGGAGGCAGTGATTGATGGAGGGAGGCATTGAGAAGGAGAGGCAGGAAGAGTGTTGGGGGTGGTGGTGAGGGTGGTAGGGAGTATTGGTGGTGGTAGTGAGGCAGGGAGAGGGGTGGTGGTGTGTTGAGGGAGGCAGGGAGAGGGGTGGTGGTGTGTTGAGGGAGGCAGGGAGAGGGGTGGTGGTGTGTTGAGGGAGGCAGGGAGAGGGGTGGTGGTGGTGTTGAGGGAGGCAGGGAGAGGGGTGGTGGTGTGTTGAGGGAGGCAGGGAGAGGAGTGGTGGTGTGTTGAGGGAGGCAGGGAGAGGGATGGTGGTGTGTTGAGGGAGGCAGTGAGAGGGCTGGTGGTGAGGGAGGCAGGGAGAGGGGTGGTGGTGTGTGAGGGAGGCAGGGAGAGGGATGGTGGTGTGTTGAGGGAGGCAGGGAGAGGGGTGGTGGTGTGTTGAGGGAGGCAGGGAGAGGGGTGGTGGTGGTGTTGAGGGAGGCAGGGAGAGGGGTGGTGGTGTTGAGGGAGGCAGGGAGAAGGGGTGGTGGTGTTGAGGGAGGCAGGGAGAGGGGTGGTGGTGTGTTGAGGGAGGCAGGGAGAGGGGTGGTGGTGTTGAGGGTTGAGGGAGGCAGGGAGAGGGGTGGTGGTGGTGTTGAGGGAGGCAGGGAGAGGGGTGGTGGTCGTGTTGAGGGAGGCAGGGAGAGGGGTGGTGGTGGTTGAGGGAGGCAGGGAGAGGGTGGTGGTGAGTGGTGGTGTTGAGGGAGGCAGGGAGAGGGGTGGTGGTGTTGAGGGAGGCAGGGAGAGGGGTGGTGGTGTGAGGGAGGCAGGGAGAGGGTGGTGGTGGTGTTGAGGGAGGCAGGGAGAGGGGTGGTGGTGGTGTTGAGGGAGGCAGGGAGAGGGGTGGTGGTGTTGAGGGAGGCAGGGAGAGTGGTGGTGAGTGAGGGAGGCAGGGAGAGGGGTGGTGGTGGTGTTGAGGGAGGCAGGGAGAGGGTGGTGGTGGTGTTGAGGGAGGCAGGGAGAGGGGGTGGTGGTGTTGAGGGAGGCAGGGAGAGTGGTGGTGGTGTTGAGGGAGGCAGGGAGAGGGGTGGTGGTGTTGAGGGAGGCAGGGAGAAGGGTGGTGGTGGTGTTGAGGGAGGCAGGGAGAGGGGTGGTGGTGTTGAGGGAGGCAGGGAGAGGAGTGGTGGTGTTGAAGGAGTCAGGGAGAGGGGTGGTGGTGTTGAGGGAGGCAGGGAGAGGGGTGGTGGTGTTGAGGGAGGCAGGGAGAGGGGTGGTGGTGTGTTGAGGGAGGCAGGGAGAGGGGTGGTGGTGGTGTTGAGGGAGGCAGGGAGAGGGGTGGTGGTGTTGAGGGAGGCAGGGAGAGGGGTGGTGGTGTTGAGGGAGGCAGGGAGAGGGGTGGTGGTGTTGAGGGAGGCAGGGAGAGGGGTGGTGTGTTGAGGGAGGCAGGGAGAGGGGTGGTGGTGTTGAGGGAGGCAGGGAGAGGGGGTGGTGGTGTTGAGGGAGGCAGGGAGAGGGGTGGTGGTGGTGTTGAGGGAGGCAGGGAGAGGAGTGGTGGTGTGGTGAGGGAGGCAGGGAGAGGGGTGGTGTTGAGGGAGGTAGGGAGAGGGGTGGTGGTGAGGGAGGCAGTGAGAGGGCTGGTGGTGAGGGAGGCAGTGAGAGTGGTGGTGGTGTTGAGGGAGGCAGGGAGAGGGTGGTGGTGTTGAGGGAGGCAGGGAGAGGGGTGGTGGTGTGTTGAGGGAGGCAGGGAGAGGGGTGGTGTGGTGTTGAGGGAGGCAGGGAGAGGGGTGGTGGTGGTGTTGAGGGAGGCAGGGAGAGGGGTGGTGGTGTTGTGGGAGAGGGAGGCAGGGAGAGGGGTGGTGGTGGTGTTGAGGGAGGCAGGGAGAGGGGTGGTGGTGTTGAGGGAGGCAGGGAGAGGGGTGGTGGTCGTGTTGAGGGAGGCAGGGAGAGGGGTGGTGGTGGTGTTGAGGGAGGCAGGGAGAAGGGTGGTGGTGGTGTTGAGGGAGGCAGGGAGAGGGGTGGGTGGTGTTGGTGGTGGTGTGAGGGAGGCAGGGAGAGGGGTGGTGGTGGTGTGTTGAGGGAGTCAGGGAGAGGGGTGGTGGTGTTGAGGGAGTCAGGAGAGGGGTGGTGGTGTTGAGGGAGGCAGGGAGAGGGGTGGTGGTGTTGAGGGAGGCAGGGAGAGGGGTGGTGGTGTTGAGGGAGTCAGGGAGAGGGGTGGTGGTGTTGAGGGAGGCAGGGAGAGGGGTGGTGGTGTTGAGGGAGGCAGGGAGAGGGATGGTGGTGTTGAGGGAGGCAGGGAGAGGGGTGGTGGTGTTGAGGGAGGCAGGGAGAGGGGTGGTGGTGTTGAGGGAGTCAGGGAGAGGGGTGGTGGTGTTGAGGGAGGCAGGGAGAGGGATGGTGGTGTTGAGGGAGTCAGGGAGAGGGGTGGTGGTGTTGAGGGAGTCAGGGAGAGGGGTGGTGGTGTTGAGGGAGGCAGGGAGAGGGGTGGTGGTGTTGAGGGAGTCAGGGAGAGGGGTGGTGGTGTTGAGGGAGGCAGGGAGAGGGGTGGGGGTAAGGAAGGAGGAGGGCAGAATTGCTGACCAAGGCGATGGTGCCAAACCTCTCACCCCATACTGTATTAAATTTTGTAATCTTAGTTGTAAAATATTTATACCAAAATGTGTTAATTTTTGTATATAACTATACATTATTAATCAATAACATGTTTTATAGTTTCCTATTTGTTAATTAAACAAATATTGTTTTATTTATGAATTATGCACAGCTGGCATCTGCGAGCACGCGCTGACAGATATGAGTAGCCAGGCCTCGACCCCTATAGTAGCTCCCTCGACCCCATTAGTAGCTCCTTCCTCCATCGCCTGCTGTTCTCATGTTATGAGGAACACAGTGAGGGAGGGGATGGAAGACATTGAGGGAGGGGATGGAAGACATTGAGGGAGGGGGTGGAAGATAATGAGGGAGGGGGTGGAAGATAATGAGGTGGGGATGGAAGACAATGAGGGAGGGGATGGAAGATAATGAGGGAGGGGATGGAAGATAATGAGGGAGGGGATGGAAAATAATGAGAGGGGATAGAAGATAATGAGGGAGGGGATGGAAGATAATGAGGGAGGGGATGGAAGATAATGAGGGTGGGGATGGAAGGTAATGAGGGAGGGGATGGAAGATAATGAGGGAGGGGATGGAAGATAATGAGGGAGGGGATGGAAGACATTGAGGGAGGGGATGGAAGATAATGAGGGAGGGGATGGAAGATAATGAGGGTGGGGATGGAAGGTAATGAGGGAGGGATGGAAGATAATGAGGGAGGGATGGAAGATAATGAGGGAGGGGATGGAAGACATTGAGGGAGGGGATGGAAGATAATGAGGGAGGGGATGGAAGATAATGAGGGTGGGGATGGAAGATAATGAGGGAGGGGATGGAAGATAATGAGGGAGGGGATGGAAGATAATGAGGGAGGGGATGGAAGACAATGAGGGAGGGGATGGAAGACATTGAGGGAGGGGATGGAAGATATTGAGGGAGGGGATGGAAGACATTGAGGGAGGGGATGGAAGACATTGAGGGAGGGGATGGAAGACATTGAGGGAGGGGATGGAAGACAATGAGGGAGGGGATGGAAGATAATGAGAGAGGGGATGGAAGACATTGAGGGAGGGGAAGGAAGGAGGTGTTTGGTTTATATGGTTCACTTGTTGTGTGGTCCACTTGTTATACAGAATAAAGTATATCCTACCTGAATGTTACTTGAAAAATTACCGACATCTTAACTTCGGAAATACCAGAACTCCGGAAATAACGACCAGGGTACAGCCCCATATAGGCCGTTAAATTGAGTGGATACTGTACATATGTGTACTATATATACATTGTGTTATATTCCTAGGCCTGGGAATATTTAGGTTTGTGTTTTAGCTTAATTTATTTTACAAGAATTCCTTACTAGTCAGTATACTACTATCTAAAAGCTAAGAATGTACCAATTCTGAGTATTGACGATCAGCTCAATAGGTACTATCTAAACAGGATGGGTTGAATTATGACGTACGTTACCCCAAATTCCACTTATGAGGGATGGGAGGCATCCGTCTTGACAGAGTAGCAAATACACAAAGACACGTTATAGA